CATGTTTATTCCACCTTCTGAATTTTGATTTTGGTAACTCGCAATGTTGTCCATCTGGCCTAGAACTCCTGGGCTCAAGTCAGAATTGAACCCAGGCTTCACACATGCTAGGTAACCATTCTGCCACCCAACTGTGTTTATTTTGAACTAAATCTGCCCTTAAAATGCAGATTTGAAGTGTGCTATTGAATTTTGACAAATGTACCCCTGCATTCACTGCCACTCCAATGAAGACAGGGAACAGCCTAACACTTTATTTTAGAATTCATAGTAAGATTTTTAGTACTGAGCTCTTTTTTTTTTGTACCGGGGATTGAACTCGCAACTTTGTGCTTGTGAGGCAGGTGATGGAACCACTGAGCTAAATCCCCAAACCACTCCGTCCATTTTTTTGGTAAGTACTGAGCTCTTAGTTGATTTAAAATGCTAAAAAATCATATTAAACTTGTAATTCTGTTGACAGCTATGGTTGTCTCTGGATGAAGAATTTAAAGAACTTTCTCTAAAAAGTTTTCACATCAATAGGCAAATAATTATTTCCATGGAAAGACTGATTTTTTTTGCTGAATAGATATTTTTTTAAACTTATATATATATTTATTGGTACATTTTAGGTATAAAATACATAAATGTAAACATTTATCATTGGGTGTTTGTAACAGAACATGATGTATCTTAGTTCTTATTTTTTCCCCATTACCTGTGTACCCTTCACCCCCTCCGCCCTTCCCTATTTACACAGACTTTGATTCCATTTTTTTTCCTTTCTCATAATTTTTCCTTTCCCTTCTTCCCTTTCCCCTTCCCCTCCCACCATCCCCAAACCCTTACTTATTTCATATTATCAGTTATTCATTTTAATCATTTTCATCCTTATTTACACTTTCAATTTCTCACACTAGAGAAACTATTTGGTATTTACATGTGTGTCCTTTTTATTTCACTTAAGAGTATGGCCTCAGTATGCATCCATTTAGCTATAAATGACTCTAGTTTCTCATTCTTTATGGCTGAGTAGTACTCCATTTTATAAAAAAACCACATCTTCTTTATCCAGTTTCCAGTCGATGGGCACTTGGGCTGTTTCCAAGCTTTGGCTGAATAGAAATTTTAAAAAAGTAGATTTTTACACGTAAATTTCAGCTGTATATTTTATATTTTTAATGCTTTAAATTAATTTCATAGATCTCTTCCTATCTTAAATTCTATGGTTCTGTATTTATATATCTGATAATATAGAGTATACAGTGTGGTACTTAATAGGTAACTTTTACTGTCCCTTCACTGTTGGTGCACTGTAGATCTTAAGAATGTGGTACAAACAATGGTAACTAGACAGTTTTGTGGAAATAAGGAATTCTTTCCTTATTCATTCAGTTCTTTTAATGAATATTTAGTGGGTACTTCCTATATGCAGAGTGTTAAGTATAGATGTAATGACTATAATAAACAAGGTGTCCATACAATATAGTGAGGGAGTATGAACAGTTAAAAAATGTAATTACAGCCACATGCAGTGGCACACTCCTGTAAACCCAGCAACCTGGGAGGCTGAGACAGGAGGATTGCAAATTTCAGGTCACCCTGGGCACTTACTGAGACTTTTGTCTCAAAATAAAAAATATTGTATAAGGTTATATTTGAAACTATGAGCAGTCACTTAAATCAGTGGATTCATGTTACATATATTGTGCTGCTCTGTATTTTGAAATTTCAAGCTATTTCTTTAAAACTTTATATTCATTTTACTTTATAAATGTAATTTGTTACATTTAGATATTTATTTTCAAAATATTCTCTAGTAAAATCTAATATGATAATCCATTAAGTACTTGTTAAATATACCAGTAAAGCAATAGGCCATATAGGTTAAGAGAATATACCCTGGAGCCAGAGGTCTTTGGTTTGAATCTTGGCTTTCTACTAGTTGGGTGATTTTGGTATAAATTGTTTCACTTGCTATGCCTCCATTTATAAGCTGTTTATAGGGAAACAAATAATAGTACATTCTACTTTTAAGTCTTTGTACAGATTAAATAAGTAGAGCTTCGATGAGTAAAAAGAATGTAAGAGTGTACTCATATTTTACATTAGGTTTTTGTACATACCGGATGAGGCAGTATCTTTAAAGCATTTTGTAGTACTCAATAAGTACTCAGTAAGTTGGTCTTATAACTCGACTGATAATTTTGATGAAATGCTATAATTTGGCCGACATTGTCAGTCATATTTTTCCTTCATGTTGTGATAATTGCTGTTTTATTTTAAAAATGTTAATATATATTATTGGTCTTTTATTTCAGATAAATCAACTAAAAATTACATATTATGAGTGAAAAAATTTACCCGAAATATGATGCTATACAGCATCTCTTTAGCTTTTAGAAGAGAAGAGGTACATATGGATATAGCTTTCTATTTCTTTAGGAAAAATCAGTTTTTCAAAACTATCCGGTCTGTCTTAAGAAAGTAAAAAAAAATTTTTTTCAGTGCCGGAGATCAAACTTAGAACCTTGGGCTTGCAAGGCAGGTGTGGCACCACTGAGCTAAATCCCCAGCCCAAGAAAATAAATATTAACCTTGATAATGAATGAGAAAGTGGGATTTCTAATAGAGTAGGTTTAAGATTACTAAATTAGTCACAGATTTTACTTTGTATAACCAGAGAATGTTAGTATTTATTGAACAAACTTTATGAGTTTTAAATCTACTTTTTTCCCTGGAAAGTCAGTTATCTCATTTTATAAAAAAGGATTCCATCATATTTTTAGAGTTGTCATGAACTAGCCCTGTACAACAGTCTATTAAAATGTGCACACTACTTTGAAGTGAGAGAATGCCTGAAAACAGTTATCCTTCAGGTCCTCAGTAGCCTATTAGGGGACCCATGTGGCCAAAGCTCATTTGCTTAGTAACATTATTTGTCTTTTTCACTGTGTTGATACTTGCATTAACAGTGGTGCAAAAGCAATTATGGGTAAATATACCCTGCTGGTATGTTAACATACATCAGAGTAATAGCACCAGATTGTACTAATAGCTACTGTCTTTTTCACCATCACATACTTAAAGTTAAAAAAAAAAAAATTGTACCAGTTTTGAGAATGCCCATTTTGGTCAAGAAAAATATTTTTTAAAACCTCAAGCTTTGAGAATAAATTTTAGAAAGTATTCCACTGGATGAACTTGGAAGTGTACATGAGTGTTGCATTGAGGAATCTGACACCATTCTAGTGAAGAAAAGCATTTGTGCAGTTGTTTGAAATGTGGTCTAATGAAAGCTCCCTGACCCTCAGGAATGACATGTATTAGTTAAGAGAACTGACGAATTGTATTTTTGGTACACATTCTTACAAGTGAGTAAATTCACTTTGTCATTTAGGAAAAAACTGATAGCATAGATGCTGTTGATAAAACTGAATTTTCAAATAAGATGAGTGATAATATTAACATGTATTTTGAGATAACACAGTAAGATGTGGCAGCATTTGGGAGATGTGTACAACTCAGTGACCTCATTTTTAAATTGATCAGTGAATGATAATAAATGTCTTACGTGTATGAAAGATTCAATGCACAAGAGACTAATGGATTTTAATATAACAATTGGAAATGTTCATTGATAGTTTCAGCTTTGACATGGCAACTAATCTTTAAAGAACTACCACTTATCAGATTTTAGTGTCATATCAAATAATACTGCAATTATCTGAAAACCTGTCAAGTAATCTGTTGTTCTCTAACTGCATTTGAGGCTGAAAAAATTTTAATCTTCTTAGCTGGAACAGTACCTTACAAAAGATTGAATGCAGAATATTAGAACCTAGTGCCGCTTTTTAAGCCGCATGTTATAGATTTGTAAGCATGTAAAACAGATACTATTCTTATTGTCATGTTTAAGTGAATTAGTAAAAATCCCTGAAGTCTGTTTATTTGGCTGTTTTATTTGTTTCATATTTTTATTAGTATATATTTGCAATATATAATTACATTCATTGTGGGGAATTGGCATATGTACACACAACTTAATTCTTTTTATGTCTCTTTCACCCCTTATTACCCCCCTTTCCTCAGTTTTTATTTTTTTAATGTGTTAATTATCCTTAGAAATAATGTAAATAAAAAACCTTTTTGGGTCCTTACAAATGTATTACTGTAAAAAGATTTTGAGAATCTGTAGTTTACCAAGGAATTAACATATAATTTAAGAGCATCACATAACTTCAAAATGCACATTTTGGCGTAAAGCAATACTTTGGTGTGAAATATTTTTCACATGGAAGTGTTAAAGTAGATTTTGTAACTATTTTAACAGTATTATTTGAACTTATATTATTTTGAAACTTTGATAGACCTTCGTTTTAATTTTATATCTTTAAAATACAACAAAGGAAGCAAGAAAAATATTATTTGCAAAGCTATATGATTGTTTTGTAGACATTTAGTTTTTCTTAACTGTACTTGGTTTCTGAACAAGAGCAGTAAAATAGAAGAGACTACTAAAATAGCATACCTATAATCCCAGCACTCTGGGATGCTGAATCAGAAAGATCAAAGTTCAAACCCAAGCCCGGGAAACTTAGCAAGAACCTTTCTCAAAAAATAAAGAGTGGAGTGTGACTCAATGTGAAGACCCTGGGCTCTATCCACAGTGGCAAATTAAGAAGTATATTCATACATATATAAAGTTCAGGTTCTGATTCATTTTTTCCAAGTGGTTCCTTCATTATAGGAATAGTAAAATGTGTTCAGTGATAATCTGAAATAGCCTAGGTACCTTAACTATTAATAGACTGAATGCTTCACACTGAATTAAATGGACAATTTTAAAAACTGGTAGTAGTGCCCTCCAGTGCCATTTGGAAGGTATATGGAGATTAGCTCAGTATAATGGGAACCTTTTGCATGTTAGTGGTAACTGTTTATCCTTTCACTGTAACATGATGGTCATAAAGTTGGTACATTTCTGATCTTTTTTTTTTTTTTTTTTTGGTAAACAGATAATCTCAGTGATACCTTAAAGAAATTGAAGATAACAGCTATTGACAGGACTGAGGACAGTTTGGAAGGATGCTTGGATTGTCTGCTTCAAGCCCTTGCTCAAAATAGTAAGTTTCATTGTATTTATTCAAAAGAAAAAGATCTAGTCAGCAATCTTTCAGAAATGGGTAGAGAAGCATACAACTTGTTCACATAACTTGAATTCTTTTGAATCCTTTCCCTGAATACTGATACTGTTTTAAATGTTACATCCTCCTACCTACTCCCCACCCCTAAGGTACTCAAAGCCAAACTGATAGGCAAAGAAAGGAAGATTTGATTGTTATACTAGTCCCAGAGATGAGGCAATTATTTCATTCCCAACAGATAAGCACTATAGTTATTCTTTTCTCAACACCTACATTTGTGCTTTTAAAAAAAGGACTGCATACCATATTATACTGTAGGGAGAGTGAAGAGGAAAAACAAGGAGGAGCTGGAAACATTTCACATTTTTCCTCCTGATATGTTATACCTTTTATTATTTTAAAATAAATAGGCATCAGCAGTAATCCAAAATCTCCTAAAACTGAGGTAAGATTGACCTTTGGTGTTAAGGTAAGTACTGAGAGAGACAGAAATCACATACTTCTTTCACTGACACAGTGTTAACTGTTGTGTTTGATATATTGCTCTTCACTAATTTCTGTATTATCACATGAATAGATAAGTATAAAATGGTCTTCAATTGCTCTTTTAATTCTGGGCAGCTGTACTGTGCTTGTATTTAATTATGTCATTCTCTTTATCCTGGAACTATGTCACTGACAAAGAATTTAGTGGAAGAGCCTGGGATTTAGCTCAGTGGTTCTGCCACCTGCCTCACAAGCGCAAAGTCCCAAATTCGATCCCTGGTACCAAAAAAAATAAAAATAAAATAAAGAATTTAGTAAAAAAGAAAAAGAATTTAGTGAAGAATATATATTGTAAAGATTTCAATTTCATTTTCAGCCCCCTTTTTTTTTTCTTTTGGTACCGGGGATTGAACTTAGGACCTTGCGCTTGCGAGGCAGGTGCGGGTGCCACTGAGCCAAATCCCCGGCCCCAAGATTTCAATTTCAAGCACTCAGAGATGTATGTTACTTCTTTTTTATATAATCTGTGACTAAAAAATCTAAAGTAATTGCTTATGCTACTTTTTATTAATGAAGCACATTTTTGGTTTTTTTACTTTTACTTTGACACAAGGTCTCACTAAATTGCTCATCCTGGCCTCGAGCTTGTGATTCTGCTGCCTCAGCCTCCCAAGTACCTGGGATTATAAGAATGTACCAATCAGCCAAGAAAAAAAAGCACGTTTTAAAGCTGGCTTTTAAAATTGTCTTTCAGTAATTCTCTTTGCTTTTGAGATTATAATTGTGTCAACCTGTCTAATTTTAGTGTAACAGAAAAGAGGTTTAAAACAAGCAGTTCAGTAAGAGCATCTGAATAAGATGTTAAAGAAAAAGGAAAGGAGAGTGTCTAAGGCAGTGTTGCACATTGTAGTAGAAACAGGTAGCTATTTATAGTTAATAACATTCAGTACATTGGCAGTTGGCAGCCTTACTGAGGATTGTAACTAGTCTCAGAACTGGAAAAAACCACGTGATGATCTAATTTATACATGTGCCTGTAGGCAGCTTTGCATAGGATAACTAGCCTGAGTGAACTGAGTATCTCAAGTTTATGTTTTTGAGGAGTTATTTTATTATCACCTTTATCTTCAGTGATCCGCCCCTTCGCTCTGTGTTAGCAGAATTTGCTTTTTAAATGTACCAATTGCTTCAGACACGAATGTTGTTGGTCATGTGGAAGGGTGATGGAGACCACCCTGAGCAAGCTGCAAATGTATAAACTGGCTTTTCATAGTAAAAGTCTGAGTCTGCCTATTAGCCCACAATGGCTGTCTGAAGAGCCAGCAGTTGGTGTGTGAGAAAGGAATAACTCCCAACACCACTGGTTACAGCAGAGGTCTCAGTGACCCATGATGCTGTGATGTGTTGGATGGCAAGACATTAGTACAGCTAAGGGCAGCATGACTCATACAGAAAACTCTCCTATAGGGGAAAATCCATGGGAAGAAACAAATTTCCCGTTAATCTTGGAGCTGCTCTTGCTAGAATGTTTCACTCCCTTGTTGCTAAGAACCTGCTCGAGTCAATGCTCTCCATCCACTGTTCCCTACACCGCCCCTTACCCCTTCTAGAAGCTACGTGTTCAGTAAATAGTGGCAGCTCCAGGAGACAGTGTCTTAGCCTGATAAGAGCTTTCACCGTCCTGGGCCCTCCATGTATGTGTTAAGATCTTGTCGTGTGCCGCCACCCCCCCCCCCGCCAGAGATCAAACTTTTGACTTAGCACTTGCAAGGCAGCTGCAGTGCACCTGAGCTAAATCCCCAGCCCTTGTCCTCTCTTTTAATACTGTTGCTGTACTCTTGTTGAGGTGATTGGGGGTCTCATCAGCTTCCAAAAACTAGTCCTTTGGAAAGACCAGAAGACAGATGGAGGAGGAGGAGAAGAGGAAGCAAAAGTTTATAGTGTTTTATAGAAGAGATTCAAGAAATACGGAGAAGTTTATAAGTCGTGGATTACATTTCAGATCTATTTTGGGCTTATTCATTGAACCTATTTTTTGCAAATGGTCTTAAAATTGTATGCCATAAAAATTCCTTTTCTTTCTTTCTTTTTCCTTTCTTGTGGTGCTAGGATTGAACCTAGGTCCTCACACACACTACCATTGAGCTATGTCCCTGTCCCAGCTAAATCACAAAGTCTGAAGGCCGCATAACCACATGGTATTCACAAAACCAAGAAACTCTAACAATTTAATGACTTCCCATGAAGGGAACAAAATAAATGTCTTGTTAACAATCAAACAAAATTTATAAATCTTATGTCTTAAGAATACCAATGCAAAACAGTATGACAAAGGCAGAAGGAGTCAGTGTAGATATTTGTATTTGACATAAGAGATATACAGTATATATCTTTGGAGCACCTTCTGTCTGTTAGCATTGGGCGAGATTAGGTATCTGTTACTGGAGCCCCAAATTACATGTATTATCACCATTTAAAGGATGAGGAAACAAATTTACCAAAGTTATTTGCCTTGATGAGGCAGACTCCAGAGTTTGAATTTGAAGTCTTAGTTACAAAATAAAAAATTATACTGAATGAATGAAAACTTTTTCCTAAGTTAATGAAATTGTTCTAAGAAGCTAGATTTTAATATTGTCTTAAATTTTTACTTTTTCTTTAAATAGTTGTAAAATTTTGTTATTAAAAGAGTGATAAGCCTTCTCTTTTTTGGTACTGCTGCTTGAACTCAGGACCTTGCGCTTGCAAGGCAGGTGCCAGAACAACTGAGCTAAATCCCCAGCCCCCTTATTTTTTTTTTTAAATTTTTTCCTTAAATTCTTTTATTGGTACATTTTATTTATACAATACATTTACATTTATCATTGGGAACTTGTACCTTTACATGATGTATCTTGGTTCTTATTGTTTCCCCGTTCCCTGCCCTCCCTTCACCCCCTCCACCCTTCCCTATTTATAAAGACTTTGCTTCTATTTTTTCCATTTCTCATCATTTTTCCTTTCCCTTCTTTACTTTCCCCTACCCCTCCCATTTCCCCTACCCCTTTGGACCATTTCTTCCTATTTTGCCTTATCAATTATTCATTCTAATCAATGGTACATTTTAGGTATACAATATAATGACATTCATCATTGGAAATTTGCACCTTTGCATAATCTCTATTGGTTCTTATTTTTCACCATTCCCCTGCCCTCCCTTCAACCCCTCCATCCCTCCCTATTTGCAAAGACTTTGTGTCCATTTTTCCATTTTCTCATATTAATTCCATTCTCTTCTTTCCTTTCCCCTACCCCTCCCACTTCCCCTTCGCTTTTGCCCCTTTTCTTCCTGTTTCAGATTGTCTATTATACCTTTTAGTCCTTATTTACACTTTCAGTTTCTCACACTAGAGAAACTATTGGGTATTTGCACATGTGTGTCCTATTTATTTCATTTAAGAGTATTGCCTCAGTGTGCATCCATTTAGCTAGAAATGTCTCTAATTTCTCATTTTTTATGGCTGAGTAGTACACCATTTTATCCAGGTACACTTGATATAAGCTTCTGTTTTCTTATAGAAACATTAATTTCTAACCTGTTAGGACTTTACTTTTCGTGTACTCAGTATATTTCTCGTATGTTTTAAACCTGTTTCACTCTTTATATACTTAGTTTCCTCCATCTTCTTTAGTAATGGCCTCAGGTTAATTATTCCAAAATTCTATACATTCTTTTCTTAGTTATCTTGCCCTAGTTCTTACTTCTGTAAGGCATGATAAATAAGAATATCTTTCACATAATAATTTGATGTCTGTTTTCAGCATAAAATTGTTAATGAAAATTGTTTTTTGGAATAGCACTGGACTAGTAATCAGAAAAATTGGTTTCCTTGTCCTTTTTCAATATAATCTTAAATTGTAATTGTAATGTGAAGAACACGACTTGTACCTATCTCAACATGACTGGTTTATTGTTGTTGTAGTTGTTTTTGTTGTTGTCATCATTGCTGTTGTTTTTGTGGTACTGGGGATTTAACCAAGTGTTTTCCAACAGAAGATATTTTCCCCCCTCCCCACTTCATTTTTAACTTTGAGACAAGGTCTGTCTAGGGGTCTGGTTCAGGCTGGGCTTGAACTTGTGATCTTCATGCCTTAGGGACTTAAGTGTTGCAATTAGAGGCATGTACCATCAACACCAGGCTCACATGGCTGTTTGTTAAATGAAGAGATAATATATTTGAAAATGCTTTGAAATTTTAACAAAATATTCCCGGTGTGAAGTTAAGATACAGAATTTTTGTGGTAGTCATATTTTAAATGGCTTTCACTCAGGTGTTTTTGAATGAGGACAATATTAGTTTGAGTAAGAATTAGCTAAAAATGATAAAGTGGGGTGGTATTTTAGAGAGGGAACATTATTTGCTGAAAGCAGTTATGAAATAGAATGATTCATTTGGGTTACTGTAAGTACTTTTATGTGGCTAGAATATAGGATATCAATGGAGGAATTTCAGGAGGTAAGACTGGAAAACATGGATTTCCTGAGGTGTTTATTTAAAATTATGGGAGACCACTTAAAGATTTAAGAAATTGACAAATTTCCACTTTACTTTGTATCATTGTAGATAACAGATAGGGGAAGGCAAACTAGAGTTAGGGGTCTCTTGAGGCTGTTGCATTTCATCAGGGTCAGAACTGAGGACCTAAAATAGCAAGGATATGAAAAGAAAAGGATAGATGCAAAAGATATTAGTGAGATGGGAATCTGTGGAAGCTACTGTCTGATTATATATGGGTGGTTACTGAAAAAGAGAAATTTAGAATTAGTCTAGGGTGCCTGATATTGATGTTCTATGATTCACTGAGGTAAAAATCAGAATGTATTTAAAAGAAAGAAGATGGATTTGATTTGAGGTATGTTAAATTTTAGATATTTATGTTTCTCCAAGTGCAAATTTTTTTTGTCACTGTTGGATAAAAGACAGTTTGACACTTTTCTGTGTGGTGGTAACTGAAGCCTTTGATTTAGATCAGATTGCCCAGGCACAGAGCCACTTCTCTTGGTTTGTTTGCTTGTTGTTTTGAGACAGTCTCCCTACTTAGTTGAGGGTGGCCTTTCTATGTATTCTAGACTGGCCTCAAACTTGCAGTGATCTTCCTACCTCAGGCCTGCGCTACCACACCCGTCTAGAGCCAGGTCACTTGTTACACCTTATTTATAAAATCTACTCCTTGAGAAATATATGTTCTGCAGAGACTAAAACACAGTAGGTCCTTTGAGTCATATTTCTAGTCCTTGTAGTCAATACCAAATCTGAGTCCTCAGTGAAAACCTGTCTTCTCCACACAGTCTGGCATCAGGATCCCTAGGACACATAGTATCTAGGCAACAGTTGTTATTATTCTCATAATCAAGCAAAACTTAAGACATTTTGTATTCCTCTAAAACTATTACCAATATAGTCCAAATCCATTTTTAATCCAATAAGAGTGATAGAAATAGTAGTCATTACTTTTATTTTTCTAGCTTGGAGTTCACTGAATTTGATTATCAAATGCTTTTCTTCAGTTTCTCTTCATGAAGCCTATGTGATAACATCATAATTTCAGCTTAATGTGGTAACATACCTGAAAACTCCCTCTTGGTATTTCACTGAAGTCAGTTACTTAAATCTATTTACTTGGCAGCATTGTTGAAACTCTTAGCCTTTCTCAAACCATAATTGTAAATTGTGAATTGCTTCCCATTCCACCTATTTGCATCCTTCTACCCAGCTGTTGTATACATTGTTTGAACTTCTTCCTACACAACACTATAGTTTGGCTTTTTTTTTTTTTTTTGGTACTGGGGATCAAACTCGGGACCTTGTGCTTGCAAGGCAGGTGGTAGAACCACTGAGCTAAATCCCCGCTCCTTGGCTTCTTGATTTTTCTCTTCTTTCATGTTTCTTTGGCTTGATTGCCTAGTCTGACATGTGTAACTAAGCTGCCTCCTAGTCTGTCATGTCAGAAGATAGGTGTAGCGTAAAGGTAGAGCTTTCATGAATGTAATGGTTCCTACAGTGGCTTTCACAGCTATTATTCTAGAGTACTATAGCATTTACCCTTCAGGTATGAGTCCTTCAAGATTGAAGGACTGCTGAGTGCCCATAATTTGTGGGTATACTCAAAAAGTTTTTGTTACTGCACCTAAGTCAACATCAATGGGGAGAAAGTTGATTCTTGCCAGTTAAAATGTCAGTAGTATTATGGCTGAATATAATGAAAAGTGGTATATATCTTTTTTAAAGGACTCAATTTAGTGCGTGTTTGGGTTTTTGAAATTTGTTTGTTTTATTTTGCTTACAAGTAGCTATTTATTTGGACCTGCAAAAACATCAACCTCTGATTACTTCTTTATGCTCTTTTAAAATTATTTGAAGGGCACTCACAGATATGAGAACATTTGTTAGTTCATAAGTAAATATACATTTTCAGATGCAGCAGAGTGGCAGTGCAGAAATATATTTGAAATGAAGTTAACATAGTTATTTATTGGGCATTGGAATTTTTGTTATAGAGCAGTATTTTGTTCTGTTTTTAATGGCAAAGGGAAAATGTTATTCCCAGATATTTAAATTCTAAACCTATATAGAAGTCTACATACCAGCAAGTAATACTCTTCCCAAATTCTGAATTTCTGTTTTAGTACTGCTATTCTCAAATCCTTGAATTGTAATCTGTGGAAAGTCTCATAAAGATATGAAATTTAGCTTTGCTTTGTTTTGTTTTGTTTTGTTTTCCCCTTGCCCCTAACATTCAGCTCTGATACTCGGGCATTCTTTTAGTTATAGTTAAAATGCAATATGCACGAATGATTTGCAGTTAGCTCGCCTCCATGAACACAAATAACCCAGCTTCAATCTAATCATGATTCATGCCCCGTGCCAGATTCTTGCTGTCATCCATATATAGCAGCAGATGGTGAGGCTAGACCCCTGGGGCACTCAGACTCAGTGTTCTCAGGTTATACATCTTCTGGTAGCCATAGTGAGAAAGGAAAGGATTTTAATATAGTAAAGAGGCTTCTTAAAAAAAGTACTGGATCTTATGTGTAAGATTTTCAAGTAATACCTTAAAATACTTTTGTACTGTTTTTTAGTACAAAATATGAAAGTATATACCAGGTATATTACAATTCTTTAATTTAGAACTCTAGGTAGTGAAGAGGTACATTGGAATAATAGTTTTTAAAGTTTTTATTCAGAACTCATGATTAGAAATTCATTTTACGTGTAACAGAATACACATATGTACAGGCACATATCCATATACATAAATCAAACCAAAATTCACTTAACAGTGTTTCACCTTACATTGTGCAGCATTTTCCTATTCTTCTCTTGTTGTAGATGTTAATCCCATTTCTCTTTTATAAAAATGGCTGATCATCAGTTGCCAAATAAAATATCACAGCTCACTGATGAGTTGGTAACCTACTTACAATTTGAAAAACGTTGTACAAACCAATCAACATATGCTATAAAGAAACGTTTTTGCAAATATTCTCATATTATCCTATTAAAATTATTTTCTTGCTCTATTGTTCACATCACCTGCCATTTACATAACAAGAGACATAGTGTTCTCTATTAATTGTATGTATATCCAAGGAATTAAAGGATATAGAGTAGCCATATGTAGAAACAAATCTTATATTTATTTATTTATTTTATTTATTTTTGAGACAGGGTCTTCCTTAGCAGTTCAGGCTGGCCTTGAACTCACTGTGTAGCCCAGGCTGGCGTCAAACTCATGACAGTTCTTCCTGCCTCAGCCTCCCAAGTGCTGTAGAGACAAATTTTAAATTTAATGTTTTAACATGGCTTAAAATCTTTAAACACATATCATTTCTCTTTATTGTTCATAACCAAATAGTAATTTTATTTTCTTGAACTTTTATTTCTTTCATCATTCCAGGTATTTCTGTTACTCTTTACTCTCATAGGTCATGTAACAACAGGTACATAATTTAATAACAGGTACATAAAATAGCTTGGTTTTATAGGGTCTTAAAGTAAGAAATAGTAAGACCTCTTGGTTTTTTATATCATCAAATAGAGTTCAGAATGCCATAGATTTTATTATTTACTGTTCCCTTTCTTCATTACAGATTGGGTTGTATGAAAAACAAATGGAACTATATTATCCTAGCTGTTACTCATTTCTTCACTTGATATGAAGAGTTTTTGCTCATGATAATTGACTTTTCTATTTTTTTCAATGGTAGAGATTGAACCTAGGGCCTTGTGCTTACTAGGCAGATGATTTACCACTGAGCTTTATTTCCTACCCTATTATTGCCACTTTAAAAACTGTGACAGAATTATAGGGACACATAGAACTCATATAAAATAATAAGCTATTATATCTCTAAGGGTTCAAAGAGATAGAAAAAAGCATTCCTGTTCTAAATAGAGTTGAGACTGATACTGAAAGTAAGTTTGTTAAGCAAATGATATATGCATAAAGAATTCCTTTGTAGTCTGTCCATATATAGACAGTATTATAAGTGTTTTATGCAGACTAAATTAAAATAAAAGTTTATGGAGCAGAAGGTAATTTTATGTAAACATGTACATTTGAATGGATACTGAACCCAATTTGTATTATGTATAGGAAAAAATTTTTGAATTTATTACAGATTTCCGTTTTGGTGTTAGTAATAAAGATTTTCATGGGACCTTTTTGTTTCTTTCAGATACAGAAACAAGTGAAAAAATAGAAGCAAGTGGAATACTTCAGCTGTTCGCAAGTCTTTTGACCCCACAGTCTTCCTGCACAGCCAAAATAGCTAACGTCATAGCTGAAGTAGCCAAAAATGGTGAGGTTTTCCTCAAGAACTTTTCTGCTGGGAACATCTTCAGTTTTACACCTTACTTGTCAGTATGTTTTATTAATTTCTGTTTTAATTTTATAGATTAGTCTTTTTTCTATTTCTCCTTTCTTTGACTTTTTTCATGTAATTGTTTTAAATGACTATGTTCATAGTCATTTTATTCAGACATTCTCCATTTGCTATTCCATCTCTTCAAAGTAGAATTAAGGGAAGCACTGCTGGTCTTAGCTGTATTTGTGTCATTCATTACTTTGAGTATGGGATTCCTGAGCTTGTCATTAAGTCATTCATTTTCACTGTCTCAGGAGAGCTAACCTTTTCTAACATCTGTGTGTGGGTTGTGATAGAGTCACTGTGTTGGTTTCCATTCTTGCCTGTCCTTCTAACATTGGTATTTAATGTCAGCAGTGCAGCTGGAATTTATACTCTAGTTTTTGCACTTATTTTCATGGAAAATATCTATTTCATAAATTTGAGAATACTTTGGAAAAATAATGACAACATAGTTTAGGTTATGTAGTAACTTAATTCATGTCATTATTTATACCTACTGAGATTCTTTGGAAGAATTATAGCAGAAATATTTTTACATGTTTGTTAATTCAGTTAGTTTGAGAAAGCACTTAATACTGAAAGCTGTAGTAAATATAATACTTTTAGTGTGCCTCAGTTTTTCAGAGTTTATTACTATTTTTAGGTCTTCTATTTAAATATGTTGCATATATTACACTTTAAAAAGTAATTCTAAAATTCTTGTTTCATTTGTATAATCATTGTACTAGATGGTTTTGTAAAGTACTGTTACATGTTGTTTTGGGCTGGTAAAACACTTTGTTCCTATATGTGTTACCAAAAAAAATTGCCATGAAACTTTTTCAGTTGTTGAAAAAGTTACCAAAATGTCTTTCAGGTTCTGTGCTGTTAAAAAATTTTTAGTTATTTTTAACTGAAAATTGACCACTTATTACTGATTGGTATGTCACATCTAAGAATCAGATCTGATTTGAAAATGGAACCTTTTTAGACATTGTTAAACTAGACCACTGATGGTGACTCTTTAGCGCTTTGAATGATAACAGATAACCTACTGCGGCATGCGTGCCATAGGCTTGCCACCACTAACCTAGACCAACACTACCTGAATCTTCCTAGATACCTTGTTAGAGTGATAGTATAGATTCCCAGAAATCAGAGATTCAATTTGTATCTTAAAACCTTTTTTCTTAGAATGGGTAGAAATATTATAGCATAAATTTAGAAATTTTAGATAGATTTTTATGAAATGGCTTGGCATTCCTATATGCTTTTAATATAACTGCTCATAATGCCTTTTCACAGTTCCATGACAACTCTGCTATTACAGGTTTGTTTCAGTAATAGTGTAGTAGATAATAGTTGTCCTCTATAAAGACAATAGAATTTTTAATATTCAAACCTGTAGTCAGAGGCTAATACAGAGAATACAACTAACCTCTACATAGTGAAATGAGATACATTTGGATATTTATTTATTTATTTTTTGGTACTGGGGATCGAACTCGGGTCCATGTTGAATATTTATTTTTAAATCACCATATTGCTTTAAGGGATTGGCTGAAAATGTAGAGTAGAATCTTGTTGAGTATTCTTTTTAACACAAATATATACCATTAGAAACAACATGATACAACAGAGAATGCTAATGGACAGTGAAACAGATTGTATGAATTAGAAAAAAATGAAGTTGGAAGTTGATCTATCTTTACTATGCATATTATATAATGACAGGAGATATATTAACATATACTTCATAGATCTGGGCTTGTAAATTTATTTATTTTAATTTTGCCTTTACTATATAACAAGCTGTTTTACTATAAAGTGTATATGTGCCCTAGAAGCTATGATGAGTAAAATTGAAACTTCAGAAAAATATACCATGTTGTCAGTAGCCTAAAGTATACCTTGAAACTTCAGTTTACTTTGTAAGAATAACAATGTTATAAGTATTATCTTTAAAAAGAAGGGCAATGTGGACAAAAAGGGAATTTTAAAATGTCAACTTGACAACCAGTATACAAGTCATTCTTTTTTCATGCCTCATAATTTTTTTGTATTTTAAAAAATATGTATTTTAAGAGTTAATACAGGAAAATATTTACTCTCTTAGATAGCTGAAAGTGGAAAAAATACATATGAATGTATTTTAAATATTTGAGGGCTGGGGATGTAGCTCAGCAGCACCACATCTCCCTGGGAAGCACAAGGCCCTGAGTTAGATTCTTGGTACCGAAAAAAAAGGCCAGGTATGTACCTCAGCGTTGCTGTGCCTGCCTGGCAATTGCAGGGTCCTGAGTTCAGTCCCCAGTATGGGGGATGGGGGTGGGTGGGAGTAAATATTTCATAATTAGAGATGTAAAATGTATTAATCTCAGTGTACATAAAATAATTTATTTGTGATTTTCATCTGTACTTTATGATAATGCTGAAGAATTTGTAACTCAAATAGGTTTGGGAAAGTAAAAGCAGAAAAGTAAAGTATTAGCACTTTGGATTTAGAAAGGAATATAAAGTATCCAGTCAGTTAGCAAGCATTTAATAAATATATTACTGATTCAAAGAGAAAATCATTCATAAGCGGGAGTTAATTTTGTTACTAAATTTTATTGACACTGAGATAGACAGCATTGCCTGTTCCTTAAAACCTCCATATTGAATTTCTATGTTAAAGTCCACACATTATGCAAAAATCAAAGTAAATTCTGCATTGTGTAGATACATACACATATATACGCACACGTGATTTCTGCTGCGACCTAATGGTGCCCACTGACTATTGGATTTCTCCTTGCTGTCATCCTGTTCTTTGTTTCAGCCCCACCTGTACAGTCTTCCCCAGTCCTCAGAGTACTTTTCAGTGCTCTGCAGTTCAAATAGCAAAAGAGAGAATCTGACTTTTCCTTAATCAGATGCTCTGGTCAACAGATCTTTCAAAGTAGACCATCTGTGGTCATTGACAGCCCTGACTCAGTTCAGCCAGCTCTATCGGGTAGCAGCTCACAGTGAGAGCACAGGCATGGGTCATTACATAGTAAGCATATTTTTAAGTTCTTGGTATATTTTTTATATAGATATATCTGAAACATTTTTTAAAATTAGTGAAGTAGGGCTGCTGTTCTTCACTTTAAAGTGTTTTAGAGGAGTTTACTTCTCCAGAGACTAAGCACTGAAAGCTGAGGGCTATACTGCCTTTGTTCTCGTTTTGTTTTTGTTTTTTTGGGTACTGGGGATTGAACTCAGGACCTTGTGCTTGAGAGGCAGTTGTGGTGCCACTGAGCTAAATCCCTGGCCCACACACAGTAATACACACACACACACACACACACACACACACACACACACACACACACCGTTATGCCCCTATCTGATATGCTCAGAGAATCTGAAAAGGAACAAAAGAGAGGAAGGACCTGTGGTACATGACTGTACACCCAGCACTTGGGGAGGCTAAGACAGGACAATTGCGAGTTCGAGGCCACCTTGAACTACATAGCAAGGCCCTGTCTTGAACACAGACACCCCATACACAATCAAAGTAAATAAAGTGGGAAGTACTCTTACTCTTGGAAGTTTAAATTCCAGAAAATTTTCAGTAATACAGGGATAAGAGATATGATAGGAATAAAATCCTTTATTTTGTTAGAGAGAAATATCTGGTAGGACAAATTATAAGTTGAAGAACTAGTTCATTGTTGATTAACTTTATTGACCAGAACATCCTAATGGGTAAATTGTGATGTCCAGAATGCAATTCTAATATTAATTATTCAAGAACTTTCATCTATTATGTTTTCATTATCCTTAAATTTTGTAATGGTTCATTATGAAACCCTGTAAAATACAATCAGTTTATTTCTAATCATTGGGAATCAGTATAGAGTTGTACACTATAAAAATAAGGAAAAATGAGTTTGGAGTATTAAAAAGTGAATATTTGGTGCTTTAGAGTTACAAATGCATGGATACAACTGTAGATATAAATTATCCATAAAATAGATTTTAATAAAAAAGGAATGAATATAAGAAGGACATGATTCCCCAAGGTCTTACCAATTGAAAAAGGGCCTACTATTGTTAATGATTCACTGAACATTTTTAAAAAATTTATATTTTGGCTTTTTAGAGAACATACAGTGAAAAATTAGGCAATTCAGTGGCTTAGCTTTTAACTGTAAAACTTTAATTATCAGACTCACATAAAGAACACTGCCATCATGACATACTGCTTCCAAAGCACATTCAGCTATTCTGAGAAGATAGTGATAAATTAGTTGTAATGAGAGTTAATTAAAAATCCTTTCTGTTTATGACAGACTATCAACAAAAATAAGATCACACTCATATTTCGTGTACTTATTTCATGATATATTTAACAGGATTGAACAGAAATGTACCCTTTAAATCCAAGCCACCTTAAATGTTTTAATAGTAAGGATAAAGGGAGGTGATTTATATAAGGTGTGAATCTTTCAATTTTTGATTAAGCTATGTCTCTTATTATTTTCAGAATTTATGCGAATTCCATGTGTGGACGCTGGATTGATTTCACCACTGGTACAGCTGCTAAATAGCAAAGACCAGGAAGTGCTCCTTCAAACAGGCAGGGCTCTGGGAAACATATGTTATGATAGCCGTAAGTGTTGAAAAATCAGTAATGCATTTACAAATTTTTAAGAATTATGATTTACCAGATTTATTGCACTTTGGTATTCAGACTTACTTTTTGAAGCTAAGACATTAATATGGACCAATATGATTTAGCTCTGCTTATTTAGCAGATGGAACTGCTAAATAAACTGATGGAAGTTTGGACCATCATGTTCTTAAATAAGAAGTTACAGAAAATGAGTTATCTTCCTTTGTTGTGATAAGAGATTTTTCAAGGAAAGTAAATAAATTTCAAAAAACTGAGGCTTTTAAATTTAGCAAAAATATGTACGTATGTCTTTTCAATTAGGTTTTATTGAATTACTATCTCTGAGAATGCTTATGGACAGTTTTTAAAATTTCTAAGTCTGTCCATATTTTAAGCTTGCCATTTAATAAAAATATTCATAAAAACCATTGTCTTTGTAAAAGTTAGATTGGCCACTGCATTTGCATTGACTCCATTCCTATTTGCCATTTTATCATTGTCATCCTTACCACCTTCTGTTATTACACACTGTTTTAGACAAAGAGAAAGCAAGAATTTGAGAATGGATATATTGCAAAAGTGTTACTTCTCCTATAAACAAAATATAGAAAAATCATTTAATTAGGTTTATCTTGGTTTTCCTTAAGTTTCTGTTTTCTGAGTCCAAACCTTTCACTTTTAAAGCTTCCAAAAAATTTAGATTTATTGGTTAACTTTTAATGCTTATTTTCCCTGTTGAGTTGTATTTTGTTACAAACACAAAATACATGGCCCCTGTATAATAGACAGTGCTTGAACAGTGATTTATATTTATGAGTCAGATAGAGTATAAACATTAATTTATAATAAAAAATAGGAAGAAAAAATTGAAACCAGCTATAAAGTTTTTATAGCAGTAGTGGCAAGGCTATCCTCATTTGTTCTCCTTTCTTTTCTTTTTCTGTAACATATGATAGCCATAGATTAAAATATCAGTAACACGTCTGAAGACTGGATATCTTAATGTGAATTTTAACTTACAGTTTCCAACCCCCAATACTGCCTACAAATTTACCTATCTGTTCTTTTGTTCCATTTCTTTTTATCCTAGAGTATTAGCTTTATTTATAAAATGCTAGTGCTTTGTGTTTATAATTTTGCATGTTCATATTTATGACTTTTATTAAACACCATAGCTTGTCATCCCAGCTCTTAAGAATGAAGCATTTAAATATATATGTTATGGTTAATTTTAGTAATATATATTAAAAATACCTCCACACAGATTGTTACTAGACTTTAAGTCTACCAAAAGTATTCTTGACATCTTCTTTAGCTATTCTTTAATTATGTGTTATTTAGATGTGGGGAATGTTATCTGTTTGGAGTACATTTGTCCTAGAGCTTCTTTTAGTATTTGAACATAGTGAGCTTTTCTGTGATACTGCTGTGGTTTTCATGAGCATGGCGTAATTTTATTTCTTATGTACTCTAAAAACTGGATGTTAAGGTAATAATTGTCCAATTAATAAAGTAGTTATTTTGATGAAACTCAAGTCCATTTTTATAGTATTTGTTATATTTATTTCCTTTATATTATGAGATACAGTTTAAAATTTAGTGGATATGCTTTAGATCTTGAAATTTATTTATGAATATTTGTAACTACATCATCCTCATTTAGTTCAATGGAAATTATAGTTAAGTGGATAATTAATCATAGTGAATATATGCCATCTTTTTACACTTTTAAACCTTAGTTAAGGAAAATGAAGCTAGCAGTTGAGTAAATATAAGAACTGATTTATTTACAAAAACATGTAATATAAAGGTGTTCATAGTACTGTGCTGTCTTATACATATAATTTCCACAAGACTGCATGCTTTCTTACCTATTTATTTGAAATTTTCTTTGAACTTCTTAGTGATATCTTTCAAAGTACTGTAGGAAAACTACAGAGTCTGTATTTGGCTTTCAAGAAAAATATAAAAGTCTGTAGATGTGTTGCTGCATGGCACTTGTGAATTTATTTGAAATGCATTTTTCCTTACTTTGTAAACATTGAGAGTTTTAAGAAACCTAAAAAGTTAAGTTTTTCTTTTTTTGTTACTGAGGATTGAACTCAGGACCTTGTACTTGCGAGGCAGGCGTGGTGCCACTGAGCTAAATCCCTGGCCTAGGTTTCTCTTTTTTAAGTGTTTAATGGCATCCAATTAATTTATCAACCTTCTTCCCTCTCAGGAAGATAATGCTTCGTTGTTAAAAGAGAATAGACAACTGTGACACCCTTGTAAATAACAAGGATCTTTTTCCCAAATAAAATATCTTTTAAAATTTGTATTTATATTTTCTCAAACTTGCTTGTGAAGCTAATGAGTTGATTTTGATACACTTTGTTAATGTGTTCCAAATGAGTATTTTTAAAATGTGATTTTATTTAGGATGATAGTAAACTTGCAGTAGATAGTAGGGCTGATATAAACAAAAAATACTATAAGCAAGTCACTATTGGAGGAAAAAATGAGAATAATTGTATGTATGTTAAAATTGTTACTTTCACATCTACAAAGTAAAGCATTTACCTAGCATATTTCAGTTAACATAGTTTATTTGCAAGGAAGAAAGTTCCCTCTGTAAAAAGAAGCAGTTAACTATAAAATTTCATGGAAATCTTTAGAGAAGACATAGGTCAGATTTCAGTTTTAACAGCTTTGACTGCTCCATTTTAGGAGTTCTTCCTTCTGGAAGAAAAAGGTATAATATAACCCTAACATCATAACTACTAGATGAGATGAAGTAAGATTTTGTTGCTGATGAACTTTTTTAATCCTAGTGTCTGTCTTGCATGTTGCAATGAAAGAAGCATTGACTGGGAACATTCTTTAATTTTTCGAATGCTTGATCTACTTTCTTTTCTTCCAGATAACCTCCAAGGCACTTCACATATATTTTTCTCTTTCAGAGAATCCAAACAGATTTTTGATACAGGCAACATTTTAAAATTCTTTTGCCCTTTAACTTTGTCAAAAATAATTTTTTATGAGAACTTTGACATATTTCATATCAAAGAAGAGAAAAATTGTATTTCAATTTGGAAAGAAACCACAGCTCTATATATGATGAAATATGTTCAGAAGTGTGGTTTTAAATGAAGAGAGTTGCAGTAGTATTATTTCAGAAATGTATGAGTTTGGCCTGTTACACATCCCTCATTCAGAAAGAGATGATAGTGTTTTCTTCTTGTGGCCATTTTTGTGGCATTCCCTTCTTTCATTGCTATATGTATACACCTATGCACATGATATATTTAAATGGCCTTGTAGTTGTGAAAAACTTCATATTAAATTCCTCTCCTAGATGTATAGTTCTAAGAAACAAATTGGTAATTGGAGACTGAATTTTTTGTATAGAGATTACCACTTGAGATCAGATGTTCTCAAGTGGTAATAATATACTTGATATATACTAGTTAAATGCTATTAGTAGAGGCTACAAGAAAATGATAATATAAAATTAAGTGTTTGTCCTTTTTAATACAAAAATTAAGATTAAAACAAATGAAATGAGTGTATTTTAAAATAGAACAGAAATTCTTTTCAGAAATACATAATTAATCCTATTGGCATGTAAGATGCATATAAGATATGTGATCTCAAATGATACAGAAAATTATATTCTTGGTTAATATTTTGAAGTAAAATTTAATTGACTTATAACTTCTTTATTTTAATTGACTATATAAAGTATGAATGAATACTCAAATATATGCATGTACCCATTTATATATTAGTGATGCTTACTGTGCTACACTATTTTTACATAAAGCATGAAGAATCCATAATTCTGACTACAAATGATGACAGTAATTAATATTCCAATATTTTATAATGTAAATTGGTCTAATAAGTATCCATTAGTGTACTACAGATACGTATTGAAGTTGCCTAAGTAATCAAAGTATATTGGAAGCAGTTATATGTATTTAACAGGAACTATTTATGTGTCATTTAAAAATAAATATTTATTTCAATGAAATAAATTAAATTATGGGACTGGTACTAAAGAATTTTGTAGATCTGTTGCTTGTTTTTTTCAGTATTTAGTTTTAAATAAAATAGATACGTCAGTGACATAAAATTATGATTCATCAACTTTCATCAGCTAGTTTTTTATCTTATGAATGAGTTAATTGCCAAGGTACATCATACATGTATAAGAAAAAATATATATATATATATGAATAGATTACCTGCGGATGTAGCTCAGATGTAAAATGCTTACCTCCCATGCACAAGCCCTGGGTTTAATTCCTACTCCTGGAGAGAAAAAAGAGTAAATTGTATGCTTTCTCTACTTTTAAAGATAATAATTATGACCATTATCAAATGAAAATGTCATTGTAAAGATATCCTAAGAATGTAGATTGACATAGATATTGTTTTGTAACCATATCCTAAGCTCTAAAAAAAGTTCATGTAGAAAAAGAGCTCTTAATATGGTAAACAACATAAAAAAGACTATAATAAAAATAAATGAACATTAATTGCAGCTGCTTTTAAGAAATTATTGATATAGTACATTTCTTTAAAAAGAAGTATAGTTCACTTAAAATTTAATATGTGTGTAAAAATGTAATATGCCCCTTGGAAGACACATACTGTAAATGGATAGATTTTTAGCTCCATTATTTACTAAGTTGACATTTAATCTCTTTTTTTTTTTCCAGTACCAGAAATTGAATTCAGGACCTTGTGCTTGCCAGGCAGGCGTGGCACTACTGAGCTAAACCCCCGCACTCCCCTTTTCTTTTGTACCAGGAATCAAACTCAGGACCTTGTGCTTTACAGGCAGGCACAGTACCACTGAGCTACATCCCCGGCCCTCATTTGATCTTTTGTATTTTAATTTCCTTACTGGTACAGTGGATTTGTTATGTGAATTTAAAAAGATTTATATATAAAAGAGTATAGATTATAAACTATGCAAAGTAAATACTATGGTAACAATTAGTGCTGTG